ATTCCGTCGAGCGATCAATGCTCCACTTATATGCCCAGAAAGGCGGGCTCGAAGGCAATCCTAGCTCCTCGTACGGCACTGTTAAACACTCTTTCATAGGCTCCTAGGCTGGCGCAGGGAGCCGATAGCTGGCAACCATACGGGCAACGAGTACTACTCCTGCCGAGGGACAGTCTTTCATCACATACTCCCATGGCTCCGGAGACAAAGATCAAGGCAGCACTGCCTCCACATTGTTTTAAGACCCTTCTTGCACCGGATACCACACCGTATGCGGCAGAGGCGTCTCCGGCAGGATGACGCCATGCGCGTGCGCCACGCGCTCCATCCCCGGGCGGTCGGGCGGGCGCGAAGTAGTTGTAGCGCGCCTGTTCGCAGGGCGGGTGGGCGTTGCGCGGCGCGGGGTGCGGGATGCGGGAATTGCGGTTGTGGCGCCCGGGGATTGGTGGGGGTGTGCCGCCTTCGTGGTCGCGTTGGTAGTGCGCGTGGGCCGGGAGGTTGGGGGGGGAGGGGTGGGCCGCGGAGAAGCCTGGGGTTTGGTGGAGGGGGTGGGTGTCGGGCTCGACGATGCTGTATTGCGTGCCGGCGCGGGTGCGCGCGAGGAGGATGTGCGGGTAGGAGCTGCCGCCGGGGCGTCGGCCGTAGAAGGTCGCGTGGACGGGGAGGTCGTATTGGCTGGGGGAGGGGGGTGTCAGTGATGAGGTTTGGCCCAAACCGTTTGGGTGGTGGAATGGGATGGTGGTGGAGGGTGGCTTGGCTTACTCTATGTGCCTTTCGGTGGCCTCGCTGGTGTATACCTGGATTTTGGTGTCAAAGTAGTCGGCAATGACATGCAGCAGGTCCTCGTGGGGGTATGCGGCCTTGCCCTGAGACGGAGCTGCGTACAGGGACCGGGCCATAGAGAGGGTGCCGAAGTTTGGGTCCACGGTCTTGGACAGATGTTGCATGAGATGGTATTCTGCCCACAACTCATGGCTGGGGTCCTTTAAGACCTGCATGAAGTACGTCCAGATCCGGGCTTTCACCACCCAATAGTGCCAGAGACTGCTACCACCCACGGGTTTGCCATTCTCCAGGCGGTGACGTCGATAAATAAAATACCTACCACGCGAGTTAGCGGCCCGGCGTCTGCATCAGTTCGTTATCAACTTACGATATGCAATGCCAGAGTGAGTTCGCCCCCTCAGGGACAGGAAGTGCCCTGAGCTTTTCATGGTCATGCTCAGGCCCATAACGAAACCCGTAAAACAAATGGAAGTCTGGTAGCAGGATTGCTCGCTCGATTATGCTCCTCCGGCCTGGCTCGTTGGGAGTAGCGCGTGGCGCCACTGCCGCCAGGTATTCGCGGGCATCTCTCTTGCCATAATTATTTCCTCCCCGAAACGGAGCAGGTAGGGCACCCCATGAGCCATCCTGGTCACCGACTTCCAACCGCAACGGGGCTCGCTCCGTGTGAAAAGCAGGGTTGCGGAACCCCAATGTTCTCAAAGCATCGAGCATGTACGCCCGGGCTTTCCGGCCCTTTGGGGTTTTTAGCGTGGTTTGGTGATCCCAAAGAGCTGAGACATCGTCGACGAAGTTTTGCAGCGTTGGCCGGGGCGCTCCGTAATATCCAAGAACATTCCATGCTTTGCCAACGTTGTAGTACGTGGGCACCTTGCAGCTCAGAATATCCGCAGTGAGTTTCTGAGGTGACTTATTCACCTTCCGCTTGGGAGGCCCAGGGACAGCCGCCATTCTAGGGATGAGAGATGCCGGGTTGGGTGATACGGATAAGGCTCAGACGGGTAGATGCAAGAAGAGGTGCTTCGCAAAGTACAGGGGAACAAGACCGCTGCCCGGTAACCTCCTCGTGTTGTGGGTTATCATAGCTGACCGCAGACAAAGCCACTTACAAACCCGAGAATGGAAGCAGAGGGATTTGGTACCTGTTTTTGCCATTGTTAAAAGCCACCATTTCCGTTCGAAGGTTCAGCTGCCGAGCACGGAATGAAAGAAAATGCAATCTGACAAAGACATGACCCAACAACGACGAGTCCAAGACAGCCCAAACCGGAGATGGCCGAGGGAAAGAGACGACGGGGTATACGCCCTCTTGACAAATTGGATAACTGAAAAGAAAATACAAGATACGGCGAAACAGTCCCCTCCCCGGTACTTGGATTCGGGGGACAACTGGAATGAATACGTGCTTGTATTATTTGAGCTGGAAGGGGGTAACGGAGGAGGAGTTCGGCAGGTCGACTGGACTGTCGACAGTTGAAAGAGTTCGGTTCCGGATCCCAACAAGGGAAGGTATTACAAGGGCTACAGCCCTAATTAGCCTGGCTAGCCAGGAGGAGGCAAAGAAGGCTTGTGAGGAAGGGGTCCTCTGGCAGGCTCAGCTATCCGACTGCGAGCCATACTGGGGAGCACTGCAGGCGACGCAGTGTTATAAGTGCTGGGGATGGGGGCACACCCAACGGTTTTGCAAGGGAAAGGCTACCTGCCCGCGGTGTGCGGCAGGGGTACACGGGGGGGGCGGCCGAGGGCAGGGGAGGCCCAATGCCCTACCCTGGAAAATAGGATCCCACTTAGGTGTACGGCCTGTGGAGGGAGGCACCCGGCCTGGGTACGGTGGTGCCCGGAAGCAGTTAAAGCCCGGGGTGCGGCAAGGGAGGCATACTTTTTCCGGCCGAGGACCTTTGAGCTGGCCCTTCAGAACAAACAACAACGACAACAGCCACTACAACAGATGCGGAATATTACCTTCCAGGGGGTCCAAGACCCAATGGAGGAAGCCGACGATGGCTTCCAAGAAGCAGGAAAAAGGAAGCGGCTCCGGGGTCGACCCCCCGGCTTCGCTATAGCCCAGGAGGGGGCAAGAAGAGACCCGAGGCAGGGAAAGCTAACCTTTGCGATGCGGGTTAATACAGCGCTGGCCGGCCAAGGCCAGGAGGGAGGTATGCAGGGGGCTGAGTAGGCTCCTTTAACCTGTAGAGCGACGAAGTCTCCGAACCCGATGGCCTGGAAGAACGGTATATAGGTTTTTCATCCGGCTAGGGCTCCCTAGCACGGTTTTCCTATATAGGCTAGCTAGTAGTAGGACCGGCACGCCCCCTGTAGGGTATAACGGCGTAGGAAACAACAACAATAAATATTATTTGAGCTGAGGTTTTCCGTGCCTAGGACCGTCACATAATTGTGTAGGAATCACATTCATCGTTATAACCATACAGACAACATGGGTATACCCACCCTAAAGCCTCAGCCTCTTCGCATGCAAGTAGAGGTAATCCGGCATCGCCTCCCTGACCCATTGCTCAAGATTCCTGCCGCCCTCCTCGCCAAACTCCACCCTCCACTTTGCAGCCTCGGCATCGATATCAACAGCACCCGCAACCTTGCCCTTGTCGACCCCGCAGCTGCTGTTGAGGGAGCTCAGCATGATGCGACCCGCCGGCGTCATGCTCTGCAGCTTCTCCTCGGTGGCCTTTTCCCACTCGAAGCGCAGCTTGTCCAGCTCGAAGCCGACGAGCGAGGCGTACTTGGTGACAATCTGGGGGTTCAGCATAATGTCGTCGGCGTCGAGCACGATGGGCCAGTCGCTGTTTTCGCCGAAGTGGGCCGTGTAAAAGTTGTACAGCGCCATGATCCACTTCATGGTCACCTCGGGTTTGATGGGTTCCTTGCTAGGGCGTGCCGGGCGGCCGTCAATTACAAAGCCGTTTACATCATCCTTGATGCAGGTGCGGTAGAGAGAGGGCAGCATCATGGCCGGGTGGCGGATCAGGAAGGTCGGGCGCCAGGTCTTGAGGAACTCGTCCGGCAGGGCTGTGAGATTGAGCGCCGAGCGCGTCGGGTGCTCGATGCCCTGCGCGACGAGGGTGCCTGGCTGGCCCGTGACGCCTTCGGGGCCGTAGATGTGCTCGGACTCATAATGGGCATCGTTCATCACGAAGGCGTGCTCCTTGACGAACACGCGTTGTCCTTCTTGCTCAGCTGCCGCGAGGTACTCTTGCAGCTTGTCGAAGGCTTCTTGCTGCACAGCGTACACGGCGTCTCGGTCCTCTTTCTTCCAGGTGTTCAGCGGTGTATCGTGGAAACTAAACCGTTTCACCGCGGCTTGCAGGAAGAAGTACCCGCCGTTTTCGGCTGGGCGGACGTTCTGTGCATCCAGGTTCAGGATCTTCACCAAGAGGTTGGAAGCCGTGCGAGGTGATGTGATGAGCCAGAACCGAGGGGTGTGGGTGGGTGCCATGTTGACGGTCATTTTGTCGTTGTCGTTATTCTTTAAGTGGTATTGAGTGTGATCAAAGCGGAATGAAGGTGGAAGTTATCTCAAGGTCGCTCCTGACGAGTGAGGAGTGGCGATGTTTATAACAACGTCCCCACCCCTCGTCAAGCTCCTTCTGCCAAGGGCGGCGATAGGCTCATCGGGATTTATGGGACCCGAATGAAACATCGGTAGTAGAGGAGCCTTCATACTCGCTCGGTCGGTCTATGCCACTACCGGCGCTACGACGGATGTAGGCCCCTTCACGGGAGACAGAGCGGAGACCACGGCTTGAGGAGGACAACGGCTGCCACAGAGGCAAGGTTGTGCATGGATTGACACGTGGCCAGGTCGCAGCTGAGGCCTGTTTGTGAACCAGCTGCCAGACGATTGTGCATGTCAGACTGCCAGGTTGTAGTCATAACGGCCGGGAACAATCCTGGAGGTCGGGGACACGGAGGGCCGAGACAGCGCGGAGATACGCCATGCCGGAATAAGTAGCTGACGTGCCCCAGGAACGACAAGGTTGCAACACCGGAGACATACAAATACTACCTCTACATCCACTGGCTCAGGGGTGCTAACGATGCTGGCGATGCGGCTGTGGCAAGGGATGGTCGGAGATCGGCATATCCAGTGTGGCGAGCGGGCTTTTCGGCCTTGACATGAAGAATCCTGGTTCGACCACGGTAAGGCCCAACTACCCGCGGCCGATACTAGTTATGTAATTGTGGCCGACGACCAAGGAAAGAAACACTGACACTCATCCCGCACGAGAAATATTTTAATCTAGTTACATCCATAGCGGTGGGTGTGTTTTTAGGTGGCGCGCCTTGCCAAGACTGACATGTCTCGATGGCGACGACAAAAGTGTTGGTCCGAGTATTTAGAGTGCATCTCAAGAGGCACAAGAGCTCTGTGCGGATTCGGTCGGCTCGAAAACTCACTTCCCTGTCCCTGATCTCTCTGGACAACAAGAACACCGAGAGCCGGGCGATCATGGGAGTCGGCGGGAGTCGGCGGCAATGCAAATTAATAACTTGGGAAACCCGCAGGCTCGGCGTTAAGAACGTCAAAAGGGGAATCCGAGCTCCCTGTTCACGACGGCGAGGGGAGCAACAAGCGGGGGGCGAGAGATGGATTGTGTTGTGAAGACTACGTGCCATGCCAGGAGCGATGACTGATGTCAACATTGAGTCAGGAAAGCGCAAGGGTGACAATACGGGTACGTAAAAAAGGTATCGGTATTCTGGTCCAAATACCCGAGTTTGATGTAATAAATTTGAGCGTTACGTGTCATACCTTGTACTAGGGAGGTCAGCCAAGGGGAAATAAACGCACGTTCGCACTGCATTTCGCTGGCAATTTTGGTCGGGATTGAGTCGGTTGGGCGAGCATTAGGCCATGTTTGGGAACCCGGAACAAATCTGGTACTTGGTAGGTTCCAGTTGAAGGGGAGATGATGGGGGGCGATGGTGGTTCTCAAATACTGAAAACAGGCCCGACAGCAGGGTCGGGCCAAGGATTGGTCGGCCCATCAGATGTGGATTCGACTTGTCGCACATTCTGCAGCTGTCCAATCACTGAGTTTGACTCGCATGACAGGGCCCAGACCTGACCGAAGACCATCACCAAACAGAAGGCCCGGCCAGAGAGTCGACCCCAAACAATGGCAAGGCCGCTCTCAGCTTTCCGTGTTTTTTTTGGAGAACCAACGAGGGCGTCCATCTCGGGTGATCGCCGGCCTTCCCTTTTATGAACGTGCCCGACCTGGTGGTTGCAGATTGGGATCAATCCTGTCGTTTAACAGGAACAATGGAGGCGGCGTCTGAATCGACGACCACAAAGGACGGCTCGATCCAATAATGTCGGTGGAAGCGATGAAAGCGTCAGGCCGCATCGGCAAATCGGTTGTGCTGTTGGCTTTGTCGACTGCAGCGATCAGCTTGCTGTGCTCATAGGGTTAGGGTTCTGTGCCGCAGAGGCCGAAACACCAAGGCCGTGGGCCAACAGCAGCCCCCGAAGCGGTCGACGCCATGGCGGGCAACCCGGTGTTCGGTTTCGAAACGAATAATAATGGCAACTGCCACAATGTTTCGACCATGGTTGAAGCCGGGTCACCTGGTGGCCGTGACGATCACCCGTCATCCACAGTTAGCTCATCTCAATTCCTACCCCTTAAGAGTCTTGGGGGCATCTCATGCGCACCCCTCCGCACCTGTTCTCGCTATTCCAAGAGCCCGGATTGCTGCTTGCTCAGGAATCCAGATCCCCAGACCACACAACACTTGAGAATCCGCCCTCGCAGCCCAGCCGGGAGACGAGGTCCCGGATGAAGCAGCAACGATGGGACCAACAAGTTATCCCCCCAACCTGATCGAATATGTGTGGCCCTGTGGTCATCATGAGAATGTCGACGTACAACAAGCTCCGGGTACAGCCTTTGTGCGCGGGCAGCTCTCTCTGCCCGTCGCAAAATCTCCAGATGAGTTCACAGACGAGGAGAAGACGGGCGTGCCCGGGCGGCTTAAATGCTGCAAATGCTGGGCGACTTTCGGCCTGTTCAAGACGCTCGAGGCGTGCCAGGAATGCGATCATCCCTTCGCCGGTTGCCAAACATGCATGATTGTCGACTCTTTGGGGTCGCGCGAGATTGCCACGATAGATCACCTGCCCGCGGGCGAATTCGACCAAACACCAGAATACTGGAGGTGCAACACTTGCGAGCACGTCAACCCCTTTGCCAGCGAAGGGCCCATCAATGGATTCCTGGCCCCCCTAGTCTCAGACTATATGGACGACATGGAATGCAAGAAGTGCGGCGGACCATTTACCGAGGACAACTGGGTCATCAGCCCGTTTTGGATATACCTTGGAACTTGGAATGGGAAGGTCGTGGCAGAGGGCGGCCCTTGGCACTGGAGCGCAGAGTGGCATCGGGACCGTGCTGGCGAGAACCACACCAAGGACGACTGCTACGCTGTCAGGAAAAGCGGCAGACGAAGGCGCGAAAACCCTTGCATCAACAAGAGCTTTGCCGCCGAGTCTGCTGCCAAGCCCCCCATCCCGCCTATCCTAATCGTGGATACAGATCACCACTCTCTGCCTCCACCCTCCGCTGGCTTGACACCATTCCAGGAAGAACATGGTTATAGCAGCGACAGAGAGACCGCGCCAGGGTTCCAGCAGCAAGGCTTTCTTCACCCCGACAACCAGACTGTGGGAACGAGCGGTTTCACCATCGCCGACTATGCGCATGATGATGTCGAGTCCGCGGTCATTGATGAACCAGGGACGCGCGGCTTGGTGGTTCCCGACGACGACGACCAAGAGCCGGATCTGGGGTCATATTACGATGCTCCAGCTGGTGGCGAGGAATTTTCGAGAGATGGAGAGCAGTCACGGGAGCTCAACCCTCCTCCCGTTGGAACTATGCATGCCCTGCCCGATGAGGACGACAACGGGGAAGCAGGCCCCGTGGGCAACAACTATTATGCCCCATTAATGCAAGAGGACGTAACCGAGGCTGCGCCTCCACAAGGGAATGGTAAGTACAACCCTTACTCGTGTGGCATTCGCCGATTTGCTGAAGCTGACTTCTCTTAAACAGAAGAATACCTGGAGGATGATGACGACATCTTAGACGCCTACGATGGCGAGCCGGGGCCCCCGGAAGCCGATGTCCTTGAGGATGGCAGCCGAGGCTTGGACCTTGAAGACGGCAACCAAGAATTCCAACCCGATGATGCGTCTCTCGGGACCCCCGCAGATGCAGAATTTCCTTTAGAAGACGACATCCAGTCACCTCCTCCCATGGACGAAGAGACCCCGCTTGAAGAACCCGAATTTCCACCAGAAGACGGGGACCGGGAGCTCGACCTCCAAGACACCCCAGAGCTCGAAGAAGCTAACCCCGACTTTGACCCCGCCCTCGCAGCTGATGATCTCGACGGAGCAGCCCCCCCTCAAGACATCCCAGAAGACTTCCCGTCACCACCACCAGAAGAACAACAAGACCTCCCACCCCCACCCCCCGAAGAACCAATAGAACCAATAGAACCCGAAGAACCCGAAGAACCCAAACCCACCCTCCCCTACTTCACCGACGGCCACACCGCGATCCCCCGTAACAAGTATGCCATCCTCGACACCCCCGCCGCGGCCGCCTACTGCCCGAATGGCATGACACATGACACGTCGTGGGACAGTGACGAGGAGGATGAGTTCGAGGGTGAGGAAGCCCTCGAGGTTGGGGACGAGGAGTTTATTGGTGCAGATGAGGATGGCGAGCGGGGGGTTGAGGGTGGGGAGGGGGGGTTTATGGAAGGGGAGGAGGAGTTTGTTGAGGGAGGCGAGGAGTTGATGGAGGGTGAGGATGGAGAGAGGGGGTTGGATGAGGAGGGGTTGGAAGGGGAGGAGGAGTTGGGAGAGGGGGACGGGGAGGAAGGCGAATTCGCTGATGAGGAGGCGCTCGAGGATGGTGAGCGTGGCCTTGATGACGAGTTTGCTGAGGGTGAGGAACCGCTCGAGGGGGAGGAACCCTTGGAGAGCGAAGGTGAGCCCCTTGATGGGGAGTTCCTTGATGGTGAGGATGGTGAGCGTGGCCTTGAGGGTGAGTTTGGCGAGGAAGGTGAATTCCCTGAAGAAGGCGAGTTCGCCGAGGAGGGCGAGCTTGCCGATGAGGGGCTTCCTGAAGATGGCGAGTTTGTCGAGGACGGAATCCCCGAGGACGGCGAGTTCGACCCTGAGATGGGCGAGGAGATGCTCGAGGATGGCGAGCGCGGACTCGACGAAGAGTTCCTTGAAGGCGAAGGTGAGTTCCCGGCCGAGGGCGAGGGCGAGTTCCTACCCGAAGATGGCGAATTCCCTCCCGAAGGCGAAGGTGAGTTTCCGCCGGAGGGGGAGGGGGAGTTTCTGCCTGAAGGCGAGGACAACTTTCCCGCGGAAGGCGATGAGTTCGACCCCGAAGCAGGTGAGCGCGGCCTCGAGGACGGCGAATTTGCCGACGGTGAGTTCATGGAAGGCGAGGAGTTTGATGAAGGAGGTGAATTCGCCGAAGGGGACGAATTTGCTGAAGGGGGTGAATTCGCGGAAGGGGACGAATTTGCTGAAGGCGAATTCGCTGATGGTGAGTTTCCTCCTGATGACTTTCCCCAAGATGATTTTGCCGGTGGCGAATTCCCCGAGGACGGATATGCCGATGGTGGGTTCGATGAGGGTGGATTCAACGATGGCGGATTCGACGAAGGTGGGTTCCCTGCGGACGGCGACCGTGGCTTTGGCGACGATTTCGGCGGGCAGCCCATGGACGATGGCTACGCTGGCGGCTATGGTGGCGATGGAGGGGGATATGGCGACGCGGGGTATCCTCAGGAAACCTTCGACGATGGTTCATACCCTGGCGGAGGCGGCGATTATGCTGGCGATGGTTATGGCGAAGATAACTACGCTGGCGACGATTACGCCGGAGCCGGATACCCCGCCGACGAGTACCTGGATGGCGCACCCGAAGGTGAATACGTCGATGGTGAGCCTGAAGCCGAATACGTCGATGGCGAGCCAGCCTTTGATGAGAACCCCGACGAATTTCAAGACACCGACTTCGTGGAAGGCGAATTCGTCGACGGCGAACTAAACGACGAAGTCGTTGACGACCAATTTCCCGAGAACGAGCCGCTTCCCGAGGACGAGCCGCTTCCCGAGGACGGTGTCGAAGAGGCCATCGATGACGTCGACGGGGAATTCGCCGACGGCGAGCTTGCTGACGATCAACTTGAAGGCGAGTTCGCTGACGGAGAGATAGGCGAAGACCAAGCCATCGAGGACGGCCCTATCGACGAAGAGGGCGAGATTCTCGAAGACGGCGAACGGGACCTCGAAGAAGAGCCTCCTGGGGAAGAGCCTTTTGTTGAGGAAGAAGTACCATTGGACGAAGAACCGCCCCTCGACGAGGAACCCCCCCTTGACGAAGAGCTTCCTCTTGATGAAGAGCCCCCTCTCGACGAAGAACCCCCTCTCGACGAAGAACCCGCTTTAGACGAAGAGCCACCCTTTGAAGAAGAAGCTCCTCTCGACGAAGAACTACCTCTTGAGGAAGAGGCCCCGTTTGACGAAGAGCCTCCTTTAGAAGACGCTCCTCTCGAGGATGACCTACCCCTCGAAGACGGCGAGCGGGGTTTCGACGACGAAATGGCTGTTGACGACCAGCCTTTTGAAGAGCCACCTTTTGAAGAGCCACCTTTTGAAGAGGAGCCGTTCAATGATCCCCCATTGGACGAGCAACCCCTGGACGATGTCCCGTTCGACGAGGCACCCCTCGATGACGCACCGTTTGACGAACAGTTCCAAGATCAAGCCTTCGACGATCAATTTCAAGAACAGGTTTTCGATGAACAGCCGTTTGACGATCAGGCAAGGGGCTTTGATGATGGGGGTTTCGATGATGGTGGAGGCTTCAACGATGCTGGAGGTTTTGACGACGGTGGATTCAATGATGGTGGATTCAACGATGGGGGATTCAACGATGGTGGAGGTTTTGACGACGGCGGGTTCAACGATGGTGGGGGCTATAATGATGGTGGTGGTTTCAACGATTCTGGGGGCTACAACGACACCGGAGGTTACGACGGTGCGGGGTATGGCGATGATGGTGGCTACAATGATTCCGGGGGATATAACGACCCTGCCCCCTACGACGACGGCGGTGCTTACAATGACTCCGGCGCCTTCAACGACCCTGTTTCCTATGACGATGGTGGTTACAACGACCCTGCTCCATACGACGACCCGGCCCCATACGAAGAGCCGGTTCCATACGAAGAGCCGGTTCCATACGAAGAGCCGGTTCCATACGAAGAGCCGGTTCCATATGAAGAGCCAATTCCGGCCGGTGACATAGAGCCGTTGGAGTCACCAGCCCCATTCGAAGAGGAGCAGACTTTCGACAGTCAGCCACTAGATGATGATGTTCAAATGGATGAACTGCCTTTTGAGGAATCTCCACTCGACCCAGAACAACCAATCGATGACCAATTGGAAGAACAGGCGATTGAAGAGCCACCGTTGGAGGAAGAGTTCGGCGAACAGGAGGTAGCCGAAGCGGAGAGTTTCGACGATCAGCTCGCCGATGGGCTAGATGACCAACCCGCAGTGGAAGACAGCTTCCCCGAGGAAGATTTACCTGCGGAGGAGGAGCTTCCGATTGAGGATGAACTACCGGTAGAAGAAGAACTGCCCATCGAGGACGAACTTCCCATCGAGGACGAACTGCCGGTGGAGGACGAACTTCTAATTGAGGACGAACTACCGGTGGAGGAACTTCCTGTCGAAGAGGAACTTCCAATGGAAGACGATTTACCGGCCGGCGATGACCTACCACAAGCTGAGGAGGAATTTCCCGCCGAGGAGGAGCTCCCAATTGACGAGCAGCTCTTGGAAGAACAGGCAGTGGAGGAAGAACCTTTTGGTGATGAAGCGCCATTGGATGATCAGCCGTTCGACGAACCGCCGATGGATGAGGAACCATTTGAGGAGCAACCATTCGAAGAGCAACCGTTTGAGGAACAACCATTCGAGGAACAACCATTCGAGGAACAACCCATCGAAGAGCAACCATTTGAGGAGCAGCCATTCGACGACCGAGGCTTCGATGAAGGAACAGGCCAAGATCAATTCCCCTTTGACAACGACCCCGGCATGGACAACGGATACCCACAAGACAACTTTGATCAGAATGGTGGGGACCAGTTTCGTGATGACGATCGTGACCTGTATTCCGGGGCGGGGTACGGAGATCCAGTCGACGACTTCCAAAGTGGCGGCCAAGACAACTTTGACCAGTACGATGACCGGCTTCCCGAGCAGAATTACGAGGAGCCTTTTCAGGACGACTACAAGGAGCAACCTTTCGAAGAACAACGATTTGAAGAACCGTTCGAGGAGCAGCCTTTTGAAGAGCAACGCTTCGAAGAGGAGCCATACCAAGAGCCACCTTTGGAAGAGCAACCGTTTGAGGAACAGGCATTCGAGGAGGAACGCTTCGAAGAAGAGCCATACCAAGAGCCACCCTTTAGAAGAGCAACCGTTTGAGGAACAGCCATTCGAGGAACAACCTTTTGAGAGCAACCTTTTGAGGAGAGCATCTTACGAGAGACAGCCTACGAGAGAGCAGCCCTTTCAGAAGAGCAGCCTTTTCAAGAAGAGCAACCCTTTTGAGGAGGAAC